ATTTTTTTTTTTTCCTTATTGAGAACTTTAAACCGTTCACTTTAAGCTTCTCTTCAGCTTATCCAAATAGTCAGTATCACTACCCTTGTGCATTGGGACCATTATTAAGTAAATAGAGTTACTTGAACAGAAGCACTGCATTACCAGGACAATTGTCTGATAACTGAGACAGTTCTACTAAGTGACTAATAGCTGGGAAACTGGGGAACACATATATCCAGCTTGTATCATGTCCCTGGTAGGACTGGTTGGTGAGAGATTTCACCATGCTACTCAAAATGACATGCAATTATAAATTGTTTATTTCTGGAATTTCCCATTTAATATTTTCAAACCACAGTGGACCACAATTTACTGTGGGTAACTGAAACCATGGATAAGAGGGGACTACTGTGTATAGTTCTCTTTGTCCTAGGTGGTTATATATTTTATGTCCTTTAATATCAAAGGACCCTGAAAGATATAGATGAACTTGCCCTATTTTATAGTTGTAGAAACTGACATTTAAGAGAGGTCATATAATTTGTCTATAGTTTCATAGCCATAAGTGTCTGATTGATGATTTAAACCCAGGCCTGACTTTGTATTTTGGGAAGAGCTGTTATACTGCCTTCAGTGAGTAACTACTTCATGAACGCAAGTCGCATTTTTACCAAGAAATGAAGGCCTGAATGGGGAAGAATGAGGACACTTGGTTAGGAAGAGAAAAAAAATTGGTAGTGGTATAATTAGAAACATCAAAAGGGAAACAGAGGCATCAGTTTATCATTCTGTCAGATTTTGGCCTGGTGATAGGTCAAGATTTTTACTACAGAGTTAGTGGATCTTATTTTGATTAAAAAAAAAAAATCCTTACTGGAGGATATGGCTTTTAAATTGATTTTTAGAGTGAGAGAAACATTGACTAGAGAAAAAATTGATCAGTTGCCTACCATACCACCCCGATGTGCCTTGACTGGTAATCAAACCTGCAATCTTTTGGTATATGGGATGATGTTCCAACCAACTGATCCACCTGGCTTATTTTTATTTATTTATTTTTTAAAGAGACTCTTATTATTAGGATTTATTGCTTGGCTTTTGTTTTTATATGATTCAAGAGATCTTAAAAATTAAAATGAAAAATCTTAACTATTAAGCCAGTCTCCAGAAGATGATAGTTACTATGTTCAATTATATATATACTAGAGGCCCGGTGCACAAAAATTTGTGCACTGGGGGGGGGGGGGGGGGGGGGGCCCC